ATAGGGAATAATTTTTAAAAATTTTCAAAGATTTTAAATATGACACAGCTATTAATATATTTGCTTTTTAATTGGTTTTATAGGGGAAATGTTTTTTTGTGTTGTTTTTTAACATGCTGTGAGCCGCCCTGAGTCCCTCTGGGGAGAAGGGCGGCATAGAAGTTTAAATATAAATAAATAAATAAATAAATAAATAAAGCATGCCGGCTGAGGGATTCTGGGAGTTGAAGTCCACCCATCTTAAAGTATGCTGGCTGAGGGATTCTGGGAGTTGAAGTCCACCCATCTCAAAGCATGCCGGCTGAGGGATTCTGGGAGTTGAGGTCCACCCATCTCAAAGCAGGCTGGCTGAAGGATTCTGGGAGTTGAAGTCCACCCATCTCAAAGCATGCTGGCTGAGGGATTCTGGGAGTTGAAGTCCACCCATCTCAAAGCAGGCTGGCTAAAGGATTCTGGGACTTGAAGTCCACCCATCTTAAAACATGCTGACGGGGGAATTCTGGGAGTTGAAGCCCACCCATCTTAAAATTGTCAAGATTGAGAAACCTGGCTCATCAATTTATAGGTGAATCTTTTGAGCTGAAGAATGCCAGATGGTGAACAATTATCCAGGATTAAACTATCCCTTCTTCAGGGAACTGTGGGCCACATATATCCCCCCCCCACAAATTTTACCCAAACAAAACCCCAATAAGGTATAAGGGGAAAAGTATAAAAACCCATTTTGAGCCTGGTGTTGTCTACTCTACCTTAGTAGATTTCAATGCATTTTAGGTGCAATGGCTAACTGCGTTTCCTTCTTGGAAACAGAATAACAGAGTTGGAAGAGACCTTGGAGGTCATCTAGTCCAACCCCCTGTTCAGGCAGGAAACCCTATACCATTTCGGACAAATGGCTGTCCAGTCTCTTCTTAAAAACTTCCAGTGTTGGAGCATTCACCGCTTCTGGAGGCAAGGAGTTCCACTGATTAATTGTTCTAACTGTCAGGAAGTTTCTCCTTAGTTCTAGGTTGCTTCTCTCCTTGGCTAGTTTCCACCCGTTGCTTCTTGTCCTGCCTTCAGGCGCTTTGGAAAATAGCTTGACTCCCTCTTCTTTGGGGCAGCCCCTGAGATACTGGAACACTGCTATCATGTCCCCTCTCATCCTTCTCTTCATTAAACTAGACATGCCCAATTCCAGCAGCCTTTCCTTATATGTTTTAGCCTCCAGTCCCCTGATCATCTTTGTTGCTCTTCTCTGCACTCTTTCCAGAGTCTCAGCATCTTTTTTACCTCGTGGCGATCAAAGCTGGATGCCGTATTCCAAGTGTGGCCTTACCAAGGCCTTGTAAAGTGGCGTTACTGGTACTCACTGTTTGGTTCTCCTGTTCTTCTCAAACCTGTCCGAGCCAATTAGGCCCCTGACATTTCTCCTGGACATGCTTGACCTAAGAGAGATCTTCTGCCTCCTTCTTGAAGGCCAGGATCCTACGGAAGAAGCCAAGGCAGGATGCCTCCCCTCGGGGCCACCTACCTCTCGCCAAAATGAAAGCCTTTTGCTGAACGGGGGGTAGTGGATTGGTCTACGACTCTTCTTTCCCATCTGGAGAGGCAACTCCAGATGTGGGAGGATGGGCCCTTAGACCGTCCTAGCCAGGAGATGGGGTGGTCTTCCCTGCAGGCCTCCAGGGATGAAGTTCCCCCATTATGACACCATCACTCTAGAACGTTCTTCCACCAGTACTACTACCACCACCATCTGGCTTTGGCGAGATTTCTCCTCTTGTTCTTCCTAAGGGTTGGTTGAAGAATTTCCTGGAGGAGAGTCCCAAGGCTTAAGTCTATGGAGGAAACCATCAGAAGAAGTCTGGTGGGAACTTTTTTCCCCCCCGCCGTTGAATTTTCTTGCAAGGCATAAACTTCACTGAGGCTGGGAGAAAAGGTAGTCAGATAAGGTGCCGCTGGGTTCCTCCTGATTTTTGGTGACCGGGCTGCTTAAAATATACACAGAGGAACTGCCAATCACTCTTTTCGGACTCCTCGCTTCCAAAAAAGATTGGGGTCTTCTGGATAAAGAGCAGGGAGCGTCTCAGTTGAGCATGATTTTTTCCCCTCCTGGAGGACAATAAATGGATCCATGATGGAAGACTTCCTGGCCTGTTTCCAAGTCAAACTGAGGAATCCTTTTCGGTGGCTTGGGATCCTTGAATGGGAGAATTGAGAATCCATTCGTGTTGACATCCTTCTCCAGCTCTTGAGAATCTACTTGAATACCATCATCGGCATTGACACACTCGCCATTAGTCAATTGCAAAAGGCGGCCTTACTAGGAACTGCTTCCATCCTGCAACGATATCTGTAATACCACCAAACATCCACATCTGCCTATCCCGGGTCCTTGGGAATGACTCGATAGGTAGACAAAAATGTCAAATCCACTCTGAACATCTGGCTGACTGTGCGATGATCAATAATAATAATAATAATAATAATAATAATAATAATAATGATGATGATGATGATGATGATGATGATGATGATGGAAGGGACCTTGGAGGTCTTCTAGTCCAACCCCCTGCTTAGGCAGAAAGCCCTATACCATTTCGGACAAATGGCTGTCCAGTCTCCTCTTAAAAACTTCCAATGTTGGAGCATTCACCGCTTCTGGAGGCAGGTAGTTCCACTGGTTAATTGTTCTAACTGTCAGGAAAGTTCTAGGTTGCTTCTCTCAATAATAATAATAATAATAATAATAATAATAATAATAATAATAATAATAATAATAATAATAATAATAATAATAATAATAATAGTAGTAGTAGTAGTAGTAGTAGTAGTAGTAGTGTAGTAGTAGTAGTAGTAGTAGTAGTAGTAGTAGTAGTAAAGTTGGAAGGGACCTTGGAGGTCATCTAGTCCAACCCCCTGCTCAGGCAGGAAACCCTATACCATTTCGGACAAATGGCTGTCCGGTCTCTTCTTAAAAACTTCCAGTGTTGGAGCATTCACCGCTTCTGGAGGCAGGTAGTTCCACTGGTTAATTGTTCTCACTGTCAGGAAGTTTCTCCTTAGTTCTAGGTTGCTTCTCTCCTTGAGTAGTTTCCATCTGTTGCTTCTTGTCCTGTCTTCAAGTTGACCCCCCCTCTTCCTTGTGGCAACTCCTGAGATGTTGGAACACTGCTATCATGTCCCCCCTCGTCCTTCTCTTCATTAGATTAGATATCCCCAATTCCTGCAACCGTTCCTTATATGCTTTAGCCTCCAGTCCTCTGATCATCTTGGTTGCTCTTTGTTGACATGACATTGTGTTTCATCAATAACTCAAATGTGTTTTGCTCTCCTTACTTACCACCGGGGTCTTCTGCGCCGAAAGTTGGGCCGATATTTTGGCCGAGTAGTTTTTGGCTGAAGAATCCATAAATTCATTGGGAGTAGGGGATGGTGCAACACCATCGGTCCCTCTGACGTTGCTGACTTTCAGAGCTGCAGATGACTCCTTCTTGGGAGCTAAAAACCAAACAAGCAGCAGATAATCAGTGGAACTCCTTGCCTCCAGAGATTGTGTGTTGATGGAGCATCACTGGAGTTTTTCAAGAAGAGGTTGTCTGAAATGGTATAGGGTTTCCTGCCTGAGCAGGGGGTTGGACTAGATGACCCCCAAGGTCCCTTCCGGTATTCTGATATTCTGTTATAACTCTGGACTTAGATGGCATTCAAGGGCTTCAGTGGAAGACTTTTGATTTGACAGTGAGAACGTTCATCAATGGAACAGCTTGCCACCTGGAGTTTATTTCACTTTATTTTTATTTGTATCCCACCTTTATTATTTTTACAAATAGCTCAAGCGGCAAACATCTCCCACACACCTTTCTTCTCTTATTTTCCCATAACCACCACCTTGTAAGGTGGGCCGGGCAGAGAGAGAGGGACTGGCCCAAAGTCACCCAGCCGGCCTTCATGACCTAAGGTGGGACTAGAACTCACTTGTCTCCTGGTGATTGGCCCAAAGTCACCCAGGTGGCTTTCACGGCTAAGGTGGGATTAGAACTCACCGTCTCCTGGTGATTGAATAGAATAGAATAGAGCTGGAAGGGACCTTGGAGGTCTTCTAGTACAGCCCCCCGCTCAAGCAGGAGAACCTATAACATCTCAGACAAGATTGGCCCATCCAGCTGGCTTTCATGCCTAAGGCAGAACTAGAACTCACAGTCTCCCAACGTCACCCAGCTGGCTTTCATGACTAAAGGAGGGACTAGAATTCATTGTCTCCTGGTGATTGGAACAAAGTCACCCAGCTAGCTTTCATGCCTAAGGCAGAACTAGAACTCACCGTCTCCTGGTGATTGGCCCAACGTCACCCAGCTGGCTTTCATGCCTAAGACGGGACTAGAACTCACCGTCTCCTGGTGATTGGTTCAAAGTCACCCAGCCGGCTTTCATGCCTAAGGCGGGACTAGAACTCACCGTCTCCTGGTGATTGGCCCAAAGTCACCCAGCCGGCTTTCACACCCAAGGCAGAACTAGAACTCACTGTCCCCTGGTGACCAAACTGACTCTCTTCTTCCACGAGAAGAGTTGTGGGTGATCCATTGCTGGAGGTCGGACAATCATTTGGAACGGTATAAGGATTCGTTCCTTGGGCAGGGGGGTGGGACTAGAAGACCTCCAAGGTCCCTTCCAGCCCGGTGATTCTTGAGTCTGCCCTATAGCTAGGTCAGGGGCTTCGAACCTGGCCCTTTTTGTGACTTGTGGACTTCAACTCAGCGTGCCTGGCTGAGGAATTCTGGGAGTTGAAGTCCACAAGTCATCAACGGGCCAAGTTTGAAGACCCCCGTGTTAAATCTAACAAACAAAATGGAGGCTGACTGAGGAATTCTGGGAGTTGAAGTCCGCAAGTCATAAAAGGGCCAAGTTTGAAGACCCCTGGTCTTAAATCTAACAAACAAAATGGAGGCTGGCTGAGGAATTCTGGGAGTTGAAGTCCACAAGTCATCAAAGGGCCACGTTTGAAGACCCCCGTCTTAAATCTAACACACAAAATGGAGGCTGGCTGAGGAATTCTGGGAATTGAAGTCCGCAAGTCATCAAAGGGCCACGTTTGAGGACCCCTGTCTTAAATCTAACACACAAAATGGAGGCTGGCTGAGGAATTCTGGGAGTTGAAGTCCACAAGTCATCAAAGGGCCAAGTTTGAAGACCCCTGTCTTAAATCTAACAAACAAAATGGAGGCTGGCTGAGGAATTCTGGGAATTGAAGTCCGCAAGTCATCAAAGGGCCACGTTTGAGGACCCCTGTCTTAAATCTAACACACAAAATGGAGGCTGGCTGAGGAATTCTGGGAGTTGAAGTCCACAAGTCATCAAAGGGCCACGTTTGAAGACCCCTGAGCGAGGTGATGAAGTGGGCTCCTTGCTCCCAGCTTCTTTTCCTCGTGAGACTTTCTACTTCCCAAGAAATTAAAGGGTTGTGGGGTTCAGCCTTATCCGATACCTGAAGGGTCTTTGCCGCCCACCGCAGGAACCGCGGCTTTGGATTCGGACGTCGGCACCAGCCCCAGGAACTCCTCCACGAGACCGCTAAGTTTGGAGAAGGCCTCATCATAATCATCTGGAGGGGTTTGAAGGAGAAGGAAAGAGCTTTGGCAAAGGGGTGGGAGAAGCTGCAGCCGCTGGTGGCACGGAACATTCTCGTCATGCATGTAAGCAGTCCTCCACTTACGACCGCTTGTTTAGTGACGGATGTTACAACGGCGCTGGAAAAAGTGACTTACAGCCAGTCCTAGAATCAGAATAGAGCTGGAAGGGACCTTGGAGGTCTTCTAGCCCAGCCCCCTGCTCCAGCAGGGGAGTCCTCGACTTACGACCTCAATGGTGCCCCAAATTTAGGTCGCTAAGTGAAACACTGGTTAAGTGAGCTTTGCCCCATTTTACGACGTTCCTCGCCACCTTTGCTAAGCAAACCACCGCCGTTGTTAAGTTAATAACACAGTTGTAAAGTGAATCTAGCTTCCCCATTGCTTCGGAAAAGGGGATCACAGGACCCCGGGGACGCTGCGACCGTCGTAAATAGGAGCCGGCCGCCAAGCGTCCGAATTTTGGCCACGTGATGACGCTGGGGACGGCTGCAACGGTCGTAAGTGTGAAAAACGGTCGTAAGTCCATTTTCCCAGCGCCGTTGTTTTTTTTTTTAAACTCCGAACGGTCACTAAATGAACCGTTGTGGGTTGAGGGCTGCCTGTCCAGAGAGAGAGAAATCCACCCAGCTCTTAACCGCAAGTTGTTGATTTTGCGGGATTCTAAACCTAGTTTGTAAAGTCAGAGACGGACCTACGTTGATGGCGGCATCGAAAAAGCCGGGGAAATCCTGGTTCATCCGGGTGTACATGTCCACCCTCCGGAGGGCTTCCTCAATCTCCGGTCTGCTGAACAAGCCCATCCTTCGGAGGTGACCCCCGTATTTCTCCTTGTTCACTGGGATGAGCAGGATGTATCGTGGCTCGAAGTAGGAATTCTTCAAACTTCGGACCCCCTTAGAGAGAAAGAGAGAGAGGCAGTTTAGCTGTTTGAGAGTCGCTGGCGCTTCGGGTACCAAATAACTCCAAGGACCGACTCAATGCAGAAAGGCATCAGATTAAAAAATAAAAAAAGGGGGGAAAAAGGGGGTGCTTTGTTCGGGTTCCCCAAACCATGTGGCTGAGCCACATCCAAAAGCCTGTCAATCTCGGAAAGCCATCTTTTTTAGGTAGCGTTTTTCAGTCTTGAACACTTCGGCTCCCAGAATGCCCCAGCCAGCATTCTGGGAATTTGAAGTCTACATCTCTTAAAGCATTTTGGGATGGGGGATTCTGGGAGTTGAAGTTCACCCGTCTTAAAGCATGCTGACTGGGGGATTCTGGGAGTTGAAGTCCACCTATCTTAAAGCATGCTGACTGGGGGATTCTGGGAGTTGAAGTCCACCCATTTTACAGCATGCTGCCTGGGGGATTCTGGGAGCTGATGTCCATCCATCTTAAAGCATGCTAGCTGGGGGATTCTGGGAGTTGCAGTCCACCCATCTTAAAGCATGGAGCCTAGGGAGTTCTAGGAACTGACGTCCACCCATCTTATAGAATTTTGGATGGGGGATTCTGGGAATTGAAGTCCACCCATCTTAAAGCATTTTTGGATGGGGAATTCTGGGAGTTGAAGTCCACCCATCTTAAAACAGGCTGGCTGGAGGATTCTGGGAGTTGACGTCCATCCCTCTTAAAGCATTTTGGATGGGGGATTCTGGGAGCTGAAGTCCACCCATCTCAAAGCCTGCTGACTGAGGGATTCTGGGAGCTGAAGTCCACCCATTTTAAAGCAGGCTGCCTGGGGAATTCTGGGAGTTGAAGTCCACCCATCTTAAAGCATTTTGGACGTCCATCCATCTTAAAGCAGGCTGGCTGGGGAATTCTGGGAGCTGAAGTCCACCCATCTCAAAGCTGCCTTCCAATGAGCTTCACGGGTGTTTGCTCAGCCTTCCAGCCCCTCTGCCCCCTCCCTGCCCCACAGGATTCTTACCTGCGGCCTCTCTGTTCTCTGGTCTCTTCTCCAGACCTCCCTGCTTCCCCCGGGTCAGAGCACAGCTTAAACCCAAGTACACAAATCTCACAGCCCCGACAATGCTGCTGCAGCCAGGGGGGCTTCCTACCTCTATTTCCAAATGGACGCAGGTGGCCAGCCCCTCCCTCGCAATGCTTTCAATGACCTCCCGGCTCAGCCCGTAGTGAAAGCCGCTATATTTGAACGTGGCTATAAACTTCCCCTGAAACGAGAAAACACAACAACAACAACAACGGAAGCCCAGGTGAAGCAAGCAGCAAAGGACGAGCGGTCAGAACAAGCCTCACCTGGGTTCCAGCACATCTTAAGTTTTGATATTATCCAGCTATCCTCCTCCTGTGGGGTCCCTGGCGCTCTCTGAGCTGGGGGGTCTTCTTGCAGACGTTTCAGGACCGAATTAGGTAACATCATCAGGGCTAGGAGGGGAGTAGGGTTGGCTTAGTCCCTTCTAGCGCTGATGATGCTATCTAGCTGGGTCGTGAAACGTCTGCAAGAAATCCACCAAGCTCAGAGAGCACCCGGGACCCCTTAGTCCATTTCCTCCCCCCTCCTCCTCCACTCCACAGACACCCCCCCCAGCACTCATGACGTTACCTAGTTGGGTCATGAAATGTCTGCAAGTAAACAACTAAGCTCAGAGAGCACCAGGGACCCCACAGTTGTTCTCCTCCTCTTCCCCCTCCTCCTCTTCTTCTCCACAAACCCCCCACCCTTCTAGCACTGATGATGTTCCCTAGTTGGGTCATGAAACGTCTGCAAGAAAACCACCAGGCTCAGAGAGCATCCAGGACCCCATAGCTCTCCTTCCTTCCTTCCTTCCTTCCTTCCTTCCTTCCTTCCTTCCTTCCTTCTTTCTCTCTCCTTCTCCTTCTCCTTCTCTCCTTTCCATTCCCTCCTAGCACTGATGATGTTTCCTAGCTGGGTCATGAAATGTCTGCAAGAAAACCACCCAGCTCAAAGAGCACCAAGGACCCCTTAGTCCATTTCCTCCTCCTCCTCCTCCTCTTCCTCCTCCTCCTCCTCCTCCTATCTGCAAACCCTACTCCCTTCTAGCGCTGCTAATGTTCCCTAGTTGGGTCATGAAACGTCTGCAAGAAAACCACCAAGCTCAGAGAGCACTAAGGACCCCACTGTCCTCCTCCTCCTCCTCCTCCTCCAACCCCCCTCCCTTCTAGCGCTGATGACGTTCCCTAGTTGGGTCATGAAACGTCTGCAAGAAAACCCCCAAGCTCATAGAGCACCAAGGACCCCTTAGTCCATTTCCTCCTCCTCCTCCTCCTCCTCCTCCTCCTCCTCCTCCCTGCAAACCCCCCTCCCTTCTAGTGCTGATGATGTTCCCTAGTTGGGTCATGAAACGTCTGCAAGAAAACCCCCAAGCTCAGACAGCACCTGTTCGAATCCTCCAAGCGCTGCCAACCCATGACACCAAAGGGGGGTGGAAGGACACACACACACACACAAGAAACTTCCCAGGTGTCCTCAATCTCTGAAGCCCCAAACCTCTCTTCCTTTTGGTCCACCCTGGGCCGGACCTGCAGATCGCTTCCTTGCTTGCCCTCGGAAAGGCCGGCTTCTTCCTTCTTACCGTGTTCACCATCTTGTCAAATTCCTCCTGGGAGACGTAGTAGTAATCTAACCGGTTCTCTTCTCCGAAGTAAGGGCTCCTGGTGGTGTGACAGGGGCTGAGAAGGAAGCAGAGCGGAAAGAGGAGCTGTGGCGTGCCCACTTTCTACTCTTCTTTCCCCTTCCTTGAGGACATACTG